GACTCCATGACTTCACAGGTTCTATAGAAAACAAATGTCTTATAATAAATACTAAATAATTATTTTTCAATTGTCATCACCGTCATCGCTGTTGACATCAGTAAATATAAGACACAGACATTCCTCTTTTTGTCAGAACAGTAACATGAACTGTATGCTTTGTAATATTGATTTCTTCTGGATGTCTCATATTTATTTACAGTTTATGGATAAAACTTTGTTAATGTATTTCTCTGCTAACACTGACAAAGTCTAACTGCTCTGACAAATAACTAATAACCATAATTGTATATTTAAAAAAGTGTAGTTTTAAGACTTTAATTAAATATTTGGGTGGAATATAATTCGTTTTAACTGTGTTGTAGAAAAGTTAAATGTTAACTTACTGTTTGTAGAGTTTTCTCAGGACGAGCAGGAATAGGGGATGATAGCAGCCTAGCCGTCAGCTATGCTGTCAAGTGGACTGCTAACGTCGAGCTGAATGGGCGGAGTTAAGTCCCGCCGGTCCCGCCTTACTGCTGTTGCTAGGTTGATCCGAAGTTAGGTTGAGACTGCAAATCCAATATGGATGCGGCTGTCGATTGGACTCATTTTCTGCCTATGTAACAGACGGTTCAGGGTTTGTCCAGTAATATTTACAGTGTATGTATAAAACACATGTCAAAAAAGTTATTTAACTAAAAGGACAACATCAGTCTGAAATAGCTATTCTAGCAACAAGCCATAATGTGCTTGATGTACCAGCACATTATGTTTAGTTTTTTAGTTTAGATGTTTAGTTCAAGTTAATTCATTTAAAATAGCCTGAGTTAGCCTTGTCAAAGACATCAAGCTATTTTATGTTAACAGTAAAATTTTAAAAAGTTAAAGGTCTAGTTACTTACCTCTGAAGTTTCTTGCGTCTTCTTCATTATTTTTTAGTCCAGCTTCAATTATTTTTTGAACGAGGTATTTGTAGACAAGGTTGACAAAGTAGGAAAACTAATCACCACTTGTAGTGTACAAAATGTAGGCTACATCAAATGTTACTGTTGAGTAAAGCCCGGGAAACCTACGGGGAACCAAGGCTGGAACAGTGCCCCTGCTGGCCTTTTGAAGTAATGATATGAGAGTGAAACCTTCGGGTTTTTCTGTACCTTATGCTTGATAGAAGTACAATTATGTACCCTTTGCTGTCAGCAATGACTTTGTACCTTTAAAACGAAACAAAGGTCCACAATTATCACTTGAAGGACCATTTCTGTACCTTACAGGGTACTTTTCTGAAAAATGTACCTATAGGTACAAAAGTGATACCCTTATTTCTTAGTGTGCAGTGATGGCCAGCTGGCAAAGATGGTGTTCTTCTGTTCTGCCAACGCTGGAACCTGGTTCCAGAAAATCGATGCTCTGGCAATGCAGGACCAATATTAATGTAGGAAAACAGAAAAGCACAGTCCATCTTCTGTTGGTTGGGTTAAAGGTTATTGTAATGGAAGAAGGAAGACATGAAGGAAATGGAATATATTTTAAAAAAGCAAAGATTAATTTAAGGAGTACAGTCGTCTTTATTATATTACCACGACCTATAAGAGAAAGAGGGAGGAGTTTCTATTTTTCTATCATAGGGTTTAGATAACTAAATGTAAATAATGAAAGGCCCAATCAGAGAGATGTGTAGTGAGTGAAATGATAAAGTGATCTTACTATATGATCAGACATTAAGGAAACTGGTCTTGAATGATCTGGATTTGTTTGGACCAGAGAAGGTATGTGGTTTTAAGACAACCCCACACGGCCGTTTTGGACGCCCCTCGGTTTGCCAGATATGAGAGCAGTTATCAGATCAAACCAACAGGTGTTGCAGCGATGGAAGCGGGCAAGAGAAGTGGTTCAGATAGAAGTGATTGTACCCGACCTAAAAAGCCTCTGCATGTTTCTAATAAGCTCCACGAGCAGAAACGTGCTCAAACTAGGATCAATATTGGAGATGCTTTTGAAAAATGGAGAGAGGTTAGAACACAAAGGTTTACAGACCCATGCAGAGCTGGATAAACACTGAAGCTTCAGTGTCCACCACATGGTAACCTGCATTAACACTCTAGAAAGGAGGGGTGGGGGGAGAGAGAAAGCTCTCTACAATGTTTAGAATTTAGACTGCAGTACCCATTTTAAACACTAGGTGTCAGAGTTACATATTGTTCCTTTAAGTTTAAAAAATAAGCTTTGGGCTTCTATCAATTTGAATTGCAAGATATGTAAAATTAGCCTTCCTAAAGGTTAGATTGTCATGAATGTTAGAGTCGAGGCCATCAGAGAGAGGCAAACAAATTGATAATGAACCCAGAGAGATTTCCAAAGTTCTTTATCAAATCAAGAAGAGTACAACGTCTTCTGCATACAGGCCGACAATGTAGTCTAATGTGCTACACAATATTCTAGGCAATTGGTGGACTCGATCTTATAGAGATTTCCAGCAGTACGAGGGCGATAGGAATTGAGGTTTTTATCCCTATCTTTTTTCAGATGTGGACAGATGTGAGCATTGTACATTGTTTCTGGAAAGGTTCTGTCATCAAGAGAGCAATTTATTGTACAAAAAAGAGAGAGTAAAAGAGGGGTAACATGTCTATGACGGGGTTTAAAAAACTCTACATCAAAGACGTCCCGGCATATGGCATATGGCGGCTTTGATTTCTTCCAGTGGAAAGTTGGTAGACCATTTCCTGCCTGGCAGCTTCACAAGGAACTGGAACGTCAAGAAAGTCTGCAAAGTCAACTTCAGTGGCTTTAGACTCAGAGGCATATAGCTGGCTGACACATCCACCATTGATCAGCTGTCATTATTTCCCCAGTAGAAAAATACATGTTATGTATTTCCCTGTCTGCCTGCTCGCCTTTTAACTGTCTGACAAGCAGCTGACGGCCTTATCGCCTAACTCAAAGGGCTTTTGTTTGAGCAGATGGCGCATACATCTACAGATTTTAAATGTAAATGAATGCTCTCTAATGCAGATAGTTCAGCCTTGATGTTGGATAAACGCCTCTGCCTGACTCGCTCATACTTGATGAATGGTGAAAGACAATATTGTGTTTGTGTGGGCTTGTTTAGCTTCATAAATATTTAGGGGAGCTAATGGAAGAGCATTTACTGTACGGGTAAACAAAAACACATCTCCCACCATAGACTAGAGTACATGTGATGCAAAATCCTCTTCTCCTTTTTTCTCTAACTCTAATATGTGTCTCTAGTCTGTCTACAAAATGATGAGAAAAGTCCATCTTCTCCATCTTCTGCCTGCTCCACTTTACAGAAAATGTGCTCAAACAGGCCGTTTGGAGATTTTCCCTTCATGACATCACAAAGGGCAGTAGCCCCTCCCCCAGGTGGGTGACACTCCCACAGCTAGGTGTTTGTTCTGCCCTCTGAGTCTGCCTTACTTTGCCTCACTGTAAACAATAGAACATGGAGCGAGAAAGCCAGAGTACACCCAAGTCCTTCCAGAGAGGGGGCGTGGTCAAACACAGCTCATTTACATATTTAAAGGTACAGACACAGAAACAGTCTGTTCTGAGCAGGGCTGAAATAGAGGGGTTTATAGACATGATCAAATACAGGATCAGAGTGGATTTAGAACAAGAAACTTCACACACATGTTTTGAGGAGCTCTGAGACTCTGTAACTTTTAAATGAGTAAATACTAAAGCTCTCTTCACAGTCTTTCCGAGGCCTCTACAGTCAAGAAGTCAAAGTGAGTCATACCCAACCGAGAAGTATAATCATCCTGCATTTGAAGGAGAAAGACAGCAAGAAACAGAGGCTGACATAGTGGACAAGGAACTGGCAGTGTGACAGACATCAACAAGCAAAACATACCCACTCCCGAGTTGGAAGGCTACATGTTACATGTGCATGAGCTGTTGAATGAGCAAAATAAAAGTCCCGCTGCTGTGTTAAAAGTAGTGAGAGCCATGTAATCTGACACCTGAGACTTAAGAGTTTTGTCTGCAAGGCTGTCGGCAAACCAGTACAAGCCACACGTCCAAAACGAAAGCTTTGACAGAAACATCCTGCGCATGAATAATTAAGCTGCAAGGAGCCAAAACAATTCCATTAACGACAAGACCATGAGGGACGAGGCGAGGCTTCCTTATCGTCTGCACAGTATCATGAACACCTAGCAACGGCTCAATTAACACCAACCATCTGCTCCCCTCAATCACTTCCCCCGATATGCAGCAAATCATTTCATGTTAACGAGGTGACTGCACAGAAGTAGCCAGCTATCTACTGATGACAAACAAACATTTGTTAGGAATCAGTAAGGTTCTTCTTCTTCATCCTTATCTGTCTGTTTTGTTAATTACTTTGGACTGGTTTTCATGGGGAGAATAGAGAATGGGTTTAAGCTGTGGTTACTGGTTTGTCCGATAGTCTTGAACGCACCATTCCTGAGGTGCACTCAGAGTGGGGCTCTGTCGCTTTAAATGACGTAATACGACAGGTGAAGTGGCAGCTGACGGAGGACCCGTATGGACGCCAACTTGGAAGCTGTCGGACCTAACAGATGACCCATGAACTTGTTTAGAAACCAGCCGTATCTTGTGTGATCCAACTACAACAAACAAACCTGAACTCATACAGGAAGCTTGGGCTCGTCACTCTAAAAGCTGTCCGGTGCGATCAGGCCGCCGGTGCCCCGGGAGACCCGCGTGTAAGTGAGCTGACCTAACCTTATGTTTTCCCTGTGTGAGAATCAGTCCTTTCCATACCTGTCATCTCTTGACTTCTCTGTCACACTTCAGGTTAGTTCAGGCTAGTTTTGTTGTATGTATATGTGTAGCCGGTGCTAGCTTGTAACACATTGCCGTCGCTAATCACCTTAGACCACAAAGCCATTGTTGACGGGGGGGGGGGATGTAAATCAGTGACTGTAGTGCACTATTTTAAGGATATTTGCTTTTCATCACATCTCATGGTGAGTTTGCCACACAGAGGTGATCGTCATTGTGGCGCCTACCTGTGATCAGGTTGTCCACCAGCGTTGTCGGGATGCAGAAGATGCCCACCAGAAGGTCGCTGATTGCCAGGTTGAGGATGAAGAGGTTGGTGACCGTGCGCATATGCCGGTTTTCCAGCACGATCAGACACACCAGGATGTTGCCCACCATGCACAGCAGGAAGATGAAAAAGTAGGCCACGATGTAGCCGGTGGCGACGTACAAAGAGTGCGCGTAGTAGGGGAAAAATGTCATGTTGGTGACATTTGGGGCAACACCTGAGCTGGTGTTTATGAAGGCAGCTGTAGTGGCCGATCCCTCGATCTCCATCCCCTCGTCCCCCACGCTGTCCGGTAGCTCCATCCTTGATACACAGACTCTGCAGAGGGAACGAGACAGGAAGTGTTTAGACCTCACATTGATCACATGAATGCTTTGACATTTGAACAATGGTTGACACATTTTATTTACAAAATGGCATTTCAACCTTGACAACGATGTCAAGATCAATCTCTTTAGAGACACATAAACAATACATAATCCTTTTTTAAAATCTGTATATTATTGCTAATCGCGTGCGAGCAAGAGAGAGAGAGAGAGAGAGAGAGAGAGCAAGAGAAAGAGAGGGATCAGCTGGTAAGTCCCTTCTGTTAATGGACAGATGAAGGTGTGATGTCTCTTGCCTTCATTGCTGCTGATGCTGTCATATGACATAAATCAATATCACGATTAATTGAACATTTTACCTCGATTACGATTAATGAACGATTATTTTGTTTTTGTTTTTTTGCCCTCATAGTGACATGTTCTCTACTGTAAATATGTTCATCTATTAAAGCTGAGATATGTTTGTAATGAAAGAATTGCATATCTGATTAACTATTTTGTGGTTATTTATTGAATATTTCAAACTGAGATCAAAGCATCACTTGAAATGAAAACGACACATTTTAGTTTTAAAGTAGAAATGAACTTCTCTCAAACAGCAGAAAAATAAATAAAAAAATAAAAAAATAACTAAACAGTTTTTCTGCAGTGTTTACATTTGACTCCTTTTTGTTCATTGTCGTCTTCCCCAAAGACTAAATGTGTCCAAATGACGGACTCTTTTCGTGGAGTTCGCACTCCTGCTCGCTACAGTACGGTAGTCGAGTTCTCAGCCTGCGGTGAATGTTGCGAAGTACAGACCCACGTCCCTCAGTCCACCGCTCCGCAAGCTGTAGGCCAGCGTCTTTCTTCAGTTGTTTTCAATGAGGAGGGAGAGTGTTCTCAGGCGGCCGCCTGGATGAAAAACACAGCGCTCTGTGTCTTTTTTTATAAGCGCTCCGCCTTTTTTTGTGCTCAAGTTGAAAATCTTTCAGCTTTTCAGAAAGGTGCTGTTGACGTCACCGGCGCTCTTTTCAAAATGTCTGATAAAATATTTATTTTAACACATCCTCCTCGCTCCGTGTCTGATCCGGTAAAAAACGATCTCAAATATAAAACATGCAGTAAAAAGTAACGGAGCAGTGTCGGCCGTTGTGAACAGATTGTTGTCATGGAGACAGGACAGACGTGCAGCGCTTTTCTTCTCAGACCACAAACGCTTCATGCTTTACACTACCGAACGCACAGCCAGCGCTTTTCTCATCAGAAAGAACGCCAGGTGGACACGGGGTGTATGTATGTGTGAGACTTAAAAGGAAGTAGGATGAGCAAATTAAAGTAATAAGTATAAATAAGGTACAATAACCCCCGCCCAGAAATCTGCTGTCTGTTGCTGTTATGGACTTTATTTATACTCGTGTTTGGAAGATAATAATAATAAATTATAGCTAGTACACTGTACTGTAGATAATGCCTTTCATTGCTTCATAAACTATAACTATACCTCTTCTCAAATGCTAATTGTTTTTAGGAAATTTTTTGCACTGTGGCTCTTTAGTCCAACCAGGCTGAGTACCACAGCTCTAACCGGCGAGGAGACGAGCCCAGGTTGTTCTTTGTGTCTCGTGCTGTATGAGGGAGTTTGTCTTAATGTCTCAGTTTCACTTCAAGTCAACATGCGTCGTTTACAGGAGAGGGGAAACTTAAAAAGCCTTTTTCCGCAGTTCTACAATGTTTTCAAAGGTGGACACTAGTTTCCTGAGCACTCCTACATGCTGGTCATGTGACTGAAAGCTATGAACATGAATCAGCTGTGCCCCCTTTCTCTCGCCCAGTAGCAGGAAGAATACGGGGCTGTGCCTGAACCCATTTTAAGAGCAGCACATCCAAGGAAGGGCACACAGATAATGCTCAGGCACATTTACTACATACACAACGTGTGAGTACTGACCTCTACTTTGTGCTCACTGTGAGATACGACCCCATTAAGCAAATCCCCCCTCGGGGATAGTAAAATTCACCTCAACCTTAAACCAGAGCGACACTGCAATACAGGAACCTTTTTAGCCCTTTTTTTTTTCATTTCAATGTTTTCTAGTGAACAAATGATAAAAGACATAGAGTCCATTTATTTAACCCAGCAATAGTCTTCCTGTGACTCATGGGCTTCACATCGCTCTCCAGCATTCACACACTCGCACACTCATGTAGGCAGCTGTCATGGACTTGATTATCCTCACCTGGTGCCAATTCATCACGCTGAGGGGACACCAAAGGACTGAACGTACTACAAGTGACCACGGCTGCAAAACTTAGTGCAGTTTCTAAGTTATTATCAAGTTCTCAATAAACACAGTGAAAGTCTGATTAATATAAGGAGGAAATAGTGGTCGTTAACAAGCCGCACTTTCTCACTAAGTGTGAGAACATTTCCTGTCGGTTGGAGGCCGCGGTACACTCTGTACTTTCACACCATGTTGATGCAGTCAGGTGAAGCTCGAGCTGCTGCAGCTACTCTCACATTCATTGGTGTCAACTTAGTAAAAGGAAAAAAAGCTACCTTGAATGCATTTGGATTCAGGACAGACATTTAGCTTCTGCCCTCAGGCAGGAGATACAGATTAGTAAAGTCCAACAGGCTGAAAGTTATTTTGTGATTAAGGCCATCAAGCTTCTGAACTCCAATGATGATCCTGATGAGTTTTTTCTGCTTTTAAAGATTTTTGTTTTTGGGCTTTACGTGCCCTTATTGTAGAGACAGGACAGTGGAGAGAGAAATCAGGGAAAGAAAGAGTAGAGAATGACATGTGAGAAAGGAGCCACAGGTCGGATTCGAACCCGGGCCGCCCGCTTGGAGGACCACAGCCTCCATACATGGGGCGCGCACTGACCACTGCGTCACCAGCGCCCCTTTTATTCTGCTTTTGATGATGGTTTTATGTTCATTTTTATACATTTATATTTGTCAGTTTCCTGTTGTTACCTGATAAACTCTAGTGTTTATGTATTTAATGTTTCTGTTGTCTGAGTCTCATGCTGCATTCATGTGTTGTCAGACACATCGGAAAAACGAGTGTCAGAGTTGTAAAATGCTCATGAACGCCTGCTCAAGTCGGAGCAACAACTCGTAGAGTCAGAAAAGAATCAGGTGTCCAACTTCTTGACTTGACGTCAGAATCGTCATCATGAGGGGCAAAATACATTTAGTTAATGTTAACATATTTTTATTAATTCACGTATTGCACATCAACTTTTTGCTCAAATATAACTTTTAACATTTACATTCCACAGACCTTCTTCGTAGCATCAACACTTTTTTGTGCTGTTGTTACAACATTCAGACTTTCCGACCTGAAAGCACGTGAACACACTGAAGTCAGGAGAACGACTTCATGCTTCAGGACGGTACGGGACAACTTTGCTAGTGTGAGTGCACCCTGAGACAGAGAGAGAGAGAGAGTGGAGCTGGAGTGGAGGGAGGCTCCACAGCAATAATGAACAGCAGGGCTATGGCGGCCAGCTTTCATGGTAGAGCCCTAAGAAAGCAGTCTGATACAGCTTCTTATAAAAGATAGCACATGAAAGTACGTGAAAGATTGGAAACAGTACAAGCCCTTGTGTTTTCTGTGACTGGTTAACAAAGCTGCAGCATCGAGAGGATCAGAGAAACTGTTGACAACACTCTCATGGTGCTCATGTGAGGAAATGTCAACCCATGTGGAGAGCAAATCCTGCAAGCAAAGCCAGGAGACTTAGCCAAGACCCTGGCAATACAAACACAGGGAGCTTACACGCTGCCTGTAGGCGATTTGTGTCCTGATGGCAAGCTGCAACATAGCGATTTAATCTATACGTGTTGCTTGTGTGGTGGATTAATACTGTTTCTGATCCCCCTGGCTGGTTAAGATTCTGTCAATCACCACAGGATTCAATGTCAAGGTCCTCGTCTCTGTTCTTAGAATAACCTCACATTTCCGATGTGAGAAAATCAACAGATATTTCACTGCTAGTGCTTTCACACATGCACAGAACTCCTTATAAAAAAGGGGGTGATGTTAATGTCCTGTGAGCGGCACCTGACTATAGCGGTTTCCTGGTTTTCCTGGTTTCCTGTTATTACAAGATCTTTATCTCTAAAGTCATGCATCTGAATTGCATTCAAGCTGGCTACGTGGTGTTTCAAGATACGCTTAGGCATTTACTGAATATACTTTAACCCTATGAAAAACAACTGCGGCGCCGGAATCGCCTGCTACGGTATTTATACTGAAATGTTGTAATGAGCTGCCACTGGTGTATTGTACACACCCATAAACAAACCCGCGCCTCCTCATCGCCACCACCCTCATGCTTTTCTCGTTATTACGAGATCTTTTCTCGTAATAACAAGATCTTTTCTCGTTATAACAAGATCTTTATCTCATAATAACAAGAAACCAGGCAAAAAATAATTCCCCACATAAATGCAATACGCTTCCGTAGAGGTGTGACGGGTGGTGTCAAAGCGCTTTGAGTGAGGGAAAGTGGAAACTGATCAGCCTGTAAGAGTTACAGAGATCAAATCCTTAAGACTGAAGGCCTTCTGCGACCTCAGGCTTCAATTTTAAAAAAGTGGTTCATGTTTTTAGTATCTGACGGCAACTTGAACACGGATCGTTTATCCCTGAGGGGTCAGACATCCTATTATGAGGATTTGGGGATCTTATCTTGAGGTGGTGCTGGGTTTTAATATTTGAGCTGGCGGCATAGATTTCCTGCTTACCTTAATTAGAATGTCCAGCTCTGAGGTAGCCTTTAGTGTCTACCTCAGAGGGAAAACTGTAGAGCTCTTTGATAGAGACACATTGAGACAAAGTGAATTGTTTTTTTGCAAGAGACAGCAGAAGAGATTTTATTCCATTTGAAGGTTCAAAGCTAAAAAATATATATTTCAGGCTGGCTGGTGCTGAAATCTTCAGATGTTCTCAGCAGGCATACATATGTAAAGAGAACACTGC